AAGGGGCGAGCGGGGCAAGGAAACAAGGGAGTCTTGAAGCAACGGTGTGAGTGGGGCGGGACCCGCGGGACGTAATCAAGGGGCATGAGCAGTCACAGTGCATCTGAAAGGCACTTGTCAAAATCTCAAAAGCCAATCCATGAGCGGCCACAGTGTGTCTGGACGAGCTTCCACCGTTGCAAATCTTCCATCGCCAATCCACTACGGCCGGATCTCCCTCCACTAACAACAAAGCAGCAGGAGACGGGGGCGAAGGCGCGTGTGCAGAGGGGGTTGACGAGATGAGGGGGCGACGCACGATTACTGCAGGTCCCGCTCCAGGCCAGGCCATCTGAGCGCACAGGGTAACTCACCGAATGCCACAGGTAACTCACCGACTGCCACAAGGTAACTCACCGAATGCCACAGGGTAACTCACCGAATGCCACAGGGTAACTCACCGACTGCCACAGGGTAACTCACCGAATGCCACAGGGTAACTCACCGAATGCCACAGGGTAACTCACCGAATGCCACAGGGTAACTCACCGAATGCCACAGGGTAACTCACCGATTGTCAAAGGGTAACTCACCGATTGTCAAAGGGTAACTCACAGGATGCCTACACAAGCGAGGGGATAACTCACGGGATGCGGGCGGCAAAGAAGCGCCAGGAGACGAGGGCGAAGGCGAGCGTGCAGAGGGGGTTGACGAGCAGCAGCTGCGTGGCTATGCTCCACATGAACCACCCCGTGTAGCCCGGATGCCGCACCCACCTGCCATGCGCATGTGGGGGACATGGGATGGTCGCATTTGAAAATTCTTTTAAGGCAGCTGTGCTCCACTTGAACAACTCCGTGTAGTGCGGATGGCGCACCCACCTGCCATGGGCATGTGGGCACGTGGACACGTGGACACATGGGGAACATGGGTAGGGCATGGGATGGTCGCATCAGCCCCGCTTGATGCTTCAGATACACCATCCCGTGATGCAAGGGTGCCGCACCCACCTGCCATGGGCATGCGCACATGAGCACATGAGCACATGAGCATATCATGAGCACATGAGCATATCATGAGCACAGGAGCACATATCATGTGGGGCGGGCACACGCGGAGTGGTCACATCCAGTAGGTGAGAGGCGATGCTCCACACGAACCATCCCGTGTACCCTGGGAGGCGCACCCACCTGCCATGGGAAGTGGAGAGGGCATAGATGGGCACATGGTGAAGGGAGTGCATGTGTATGAAGGTCGCACCCACTTGCTGCTCGACGTGAACCACCCCTTGTACCCACCTGGTAACATGAACCACCCCTTGTACCCACCTGGTAACATGAACCACCCCAGCCAACGTCTTGACTGCCTCAGCGCCCATCACAGGAGCTCCGTCCGAGGAATGATCATCAAACTGCCATGTGAATCCATGTGTCACGACGTGGTGGTCGATGTGTGTGGCGGCCGATCACATCAGCTCCCACACGCCTTACCTGCCAGCCACCAAGCCCCAAGCCACCAAACCACCAAGCTCCAACCCACCCAACCAACGCCCACCTGTACAGCCCGTGAGTGACCAGTCGGTGCTCGCGCCTCTTCTCTGTCTGAATACGTGATTGAAACTCCTCCCTGCCGTCACCACTGCTGCCTTGCGCACCACTTCCGCCACCACTACCAGCACTACCAGCACCACCGGCACCACCAGCACCACCAGCGCCGCCGTCCACGCCACCAATTCTCACACGTACAGTCCGTGTGTGACTCGTCAAGCTCGCGCCGCTTCTCCGCCGTCACCATGACTGCCTTGCGCACCGCTTCCCCCGCCACCAGCAGCGCCCCCCCCAGCGCCCCCCCCCCAGCGGTCCCCAAACCCCCCTCCCCCCCCTCCCGAACCAAATAAACGCCCACCCGTACAGCCCGTGTGTGACTAGTCGAGCTCGCGCCGCTTCTCCGTGAATGTCATGAGTGAAGCTCCGCCCCGCCGCCACCATCGCTGCCTTGCGCACCGTACAAGAGCACACACGAGCACACAGAAGCACCCAATCACCCAAGCACCTAACCGAAACCCCCACCTGTACACCCCGTGCGTGACCAGCCGGTGCTCGCGCCGCTTCTCCGTCTGAATATCGTGAGTGAAGCTCCTCCCCGCCGTCAGCATGGCTGCCTTGCGCACCGCTTCCCCCGCCAGCAGCAGCGCCCCCCCCAGCCATGCCACGGGCCACAGGCGGCGCTTGAAGGCGGGGAAGAGGGCGGTCTCGAGGGCGTATTCAGTGAGCGCTGCTGCCATGGCCACCACATACTCCCGCGACAACAGCAATGCTGCATGGCTAGCGCGAGGTGGGGTGCGGTGGAGAGGGATGGGGAAGAGTGTGTGGGGAGGAAGGGGAAGTAAAATCTGAACAGACCGCCAGCAGCAGCACCCCCACCCACATGGCGGTCCAGGGATGCGTCCTGAGTTGTTGCCAGACGGAACTTGAAGCGCTGCTGCGATGGCGAGGAGATAATGCCTTGAGACAAAGCACGGCTGCACGGGTAGTGGGGGTTGAAGGGTGTGGAGGGAGTGGGGGAGAGAGGAGAGAGGGAGGGAGAGAGGGAGGGAAAGAGGGAAGGAAGCGGGCAGGAGAGATGAGATAAAGGAGGACGTTGAAGGGCCAAGAAAGCGCCGCCGACAGTGCCGCCATCAGTGCCGCCACGAGCGGTTGTGTAAAGGGCGGAGCGGGGAATAGATGCTGGACCATAGCCGCGAAGGAGGGGGCACAGCGGCGAGCGACGGGGAGAATGCGACGCGAGGAAGAAGGAGAAGCGAGGCGAAGATGAGAGGCGAGGCGAGGGGAGGCGACGGGAGGCGACGGGAGGCGAGGGGAGGCGAGGGGAGGCGAGGGAAAGGGAAGGCGAGGCGAGGGAAGGCGAGGCGAGGCGAGGCGAGGCGAGGCGAGGGAAGGCGAGGCGAGGCGAGGCGAGGCGAGGCGAGGGAAGGCGAGGCAAGGCGAGGGGAGGCGAGGCGAGGCGAGGCGAGGCGAGGGGAAGGCGGGAAGGCGAGGTGAGGCGAGGCGAGGCGAGGGGAAGGCGAGGCGTACATCGGACATCGGGTTTTCCGGTGGACCAGAGCACGAGGAGGAACTCGGAGGAATGGAAGAAGACGAGCGCCGCGAAGAACGCCGCCAGCATCGCGACTCCTCGTGCGATTGCTCGCTTGTTTCCCCCGAGGTTTTCACTACACGAGACGACGCGATCGTTCGTGATTTTTCTTCGATGTCTTTTTTACCACAACTCGAGTGTGACGCGATCGGTTGCTTGAGCAGCTGAAGAGTTTTGAGGCGCTTCAGAACTCGGAGGAATGGAAGATGACCTCCGCTGCGAACGACGCGCGATACCAGTCGCTTGTGTCGTCACGATGCGCGATATCAGTCGCTTGTGTCGTTCAAGGCTTCTACTACGGATCCTCGTGTGATGCGCCGTGTGAGCAGGTTTGGCGATTCGAGTCTGAAATAGTTGGGCTTGGCTGGATTGGGACTAAATAGTCGGGCTAAGGGCTAAATTTGAACTAGCGACCAGCGAACTAAGGGCGTGTTACATGTTTATTTTAACCGTTTTGTCCAGACGATGGTCCGCAGACCGTACTAAATACACGTGCAGACGGGTTCGGGCGTCGTGCCCCGACGGAGGCAAGTCCGGGCGGGGTTCTGGACCATTTTTCCTTCACGAAATCGAGATCAGTGTTTTAGGGTAACACAGGATACTGGTTACTGAGTTTTGCTTAGTTGAAAAAAGCGTCGCGCGACTTCGGATTGGGTAAATGTTTTCTCGTTAACAGATCTCGCTGGCCAGTCAAATGATGGTTTGGCTGTACACGGAAAATTGTAAAAAATTTCTTCTGTGGTACGTACAGCTGCGACGTCGCTTGGTTGTGGACGAAAAACTTCGCAATACTTGACGAGAATGGTTACTCTATAATGTTCGGACGGCCCACGGTACAGACCATAGAAGTGTAAAAATGTAACACGTTCTAAGCCAAATTTAGGGCGACGAATGGAGTCATACTTGCGACCAGCGAACGAATTTCGCGAGATAAATTTGGGATTGCCGCTCAGAAGTTCCACGCCGTTACCAGACGATTATTCCGACAACCGCTTTATAGCGCATACCACCGTAGAAATTCCATCATGTTCCCCTACGGCCCTACGGCGCTCGGTTCGCCATCCCGCCTCTCAGGTCTTCTGAAACCGTATGCTAACGTGATGTATCCGTCTAAACCGCATTGTCTGAACAACCTTAGCAGAACACAACAGCCCAACCAACTCTGCCCTTCGGTTCCCAAGGTTTCCCCTTCCCTCCGCTACTCCCAAAGTGCTCGAGCCACACTAACCTGTCATCAGGTTCCCTGAAATTGGTCTCGCTAGCTACGCTCGTCATTCCACAGATTGGCTTTCGCGCCTCGAAGCTTTCTGCTGCCCTAGAAACTATCAGCGCACTCACGATGTTGCAAAACCATTGTCATTTCGATCAAATCCACGGGATAGCAATGGGAGTAGTCTCGAGGTTAGGTTTCCCGCCTCACAGCTTCCTGTACCCGTACAACCTGCCGGACCTCTCAAAGTATGGCAATCCCGTCGTCACCTTGATGACATTCGAGCCACATCAGTACGGCTAGGCACGGAAAGGTTTACGGTATCTGGCTGATTCCGAACGTCCCAACCTGGCTCGTGGATCTACCGAACCAATGCACACTCCTTCGCCACTTTCCTGCTCACCTTACGCCCATTAAACCGTTGCCAGCATCCAGAAGTCCGTCACACCATAGATCGCGCCATCGCGACATACCCGCTCACCATTCCGACTAGCATCAATCGTCGATCCAGCATTTGAGTGTTTTCGATCCCATCCCTTACGAGGTCCGCTAGGTTTGATCCGCCATGGACTCGCTTCCTGGCGACCTCCTTTACTCCATTCTGCGCCGCGCAGAGCCAACAGGGCCTCATGTATTAATAGCGCAGATGGCATGCCTTTCGAAAGCGCTTAATCGCATGGCAAAGGAGTCCCTGTGGCAGCTGAACTGTCGGGAGAAACTTCCTGAGCTCCTTGAGAACAAACTTCGGGTTCAGAATCTGAGCGGCGACGAGGCATATGAAGCATCCATGCGCAAACATTTTCGGCTCATGCTGGAGCAGATAATCGGGGTGGACTTTAGAGCCCTCGCACAAGTTATCCACTGGTGCCCTGGCGTGAGAAGGGGTTGGCGAGTTCCAGGAGACGAGCAAGAGCGTGACAGTGATAAGCCGCACATGCGCTTGCATGGGCCCGCTTCAAGGTTAATCCGTTTTAATTGCATGGCTTTGACCATTTGGTGCTTGTGTCATCAGGACGGACAGGATAATTTGAGTCTTAAACAAGGACTTTATGTTGGCCCCAACCTTGACTTGTAAGTCCACCACTTCTGCTCGCGCTTCATGTTAATGCTCTTTCTTTCGAGTGCTCTGCTGCGTTATTTTCAGCTTTCTCTAGAACGGTCTTGTTCATTGAATTAAAAGGGCGTGTAGAGCAAACGTGGTAAGCCATGCAATTCTATCAAGGACTAGGCAAGGCTACTTGGAAAACTGGGCTGGTAGGTAGGTGCACGGGTGCCACGGGTAATGGCAAGGGATAGAGGGGAGGAGGGAGGAGCGGGAGAGAACTGGGGTATGGGGATGATAAGCGAGGTTTGTACACCAACCGGCCTGCCTGTCAATCAAATTTCTGGTCATCAGGGCGCCCTTTGTGGTGTAGGGTCCGGGGGCCATTGGGGCTCCTGGACCTAGAGAGGGTCCGCAATGAACCACGTGTTGATTGCCGTTTGGAATTTGCTAGGTAGGCTTTAGTGAAGAAACCACAATCCAGAGTTTTATTTCTGAAGAAGGATTGTTGCTCCTTTTATCTCTTCACGATATCCTGTTTCTTGCCATCAGGCGGTATTATACACATACCAGTTGCCCCTCCGTGCAAGATGAGTCCTGCCCTTTCTGCTCTTCTAAGGTGTGTCTTGTTCATTATCTTGTTCGTCTGCAATAGAAAAATCACAGCAGACTGTTGTTAAGAAGAGAAGGACCAGAATATTTCCTATCTATGTTTCTTTTCGCTTATTCCTTTTGAATAAGCAGTGACACTGCCTGAATCGTTTGGCAGGTCTGGGACACCACTGCAGCTTGCAGCTTGATCGTGAACAGTGGATCCAAGACCAAAAGCACCATGCACCCCCCTCTGCAAGCCCCCGTCGCCGTTCGATATACCTGCGCTAAGGTGCGACGTGCGTCTTGCCAGCAACCCCAGTAACATGACTTTTCACTCTGAAGGTGGAACACTCTAGAGCAAGTAAGGATATTTTTCACGACGCCAGAGATCAACCTCTTATCGAGTGTGAATCACGTTATGTGTGCCTGGCCGTAAATCCTCTTGCAGGGACACTTTTACTCAGCTGAAAGCGTGTGTTACATCGATAGAGGGAGAGAAGTTGCATCAGGACCAGTGGTGGCAGAGGGGGGAAGGGCCGTTGACGAGGGGAGGGAGGAGGGGACACTGGAAAGCATGGAGGATGGGGAACACGACGAGGGAGCTGCCATCAGTGACCCTGCCAACCATGTGAGTCCAACCTCCAGCTTTCCGCTAGATCTTCTTCCATAAATTGGATAGATTGTTTGCCGATTCCCATAGATGCTTTTAGTGCGGAAAACTAAGACTTTCCATTTCTGCCCACTACTGGAGTTGCTAGTAGGTATACCTTGTTCTAAGATTTGTTTACCCAGATGTGTTCAGTTGTAAGTGTGTGGTGCTACTAAGTGGAGAAAGACGCTGGGGGCGTCCGGACGCAGGACGCACGCCAGAAAATTTTCCGGGCTGCCCGGAATATGTTTTGCTCTATTATCATGCTCCGGATGCAGGACTCACCATCATGCTCTAGTGGTTTGGGGGAGCTTTTGTCTTTGGGGAGAAATTTTGCAATGAAAGTGGGCTACGGTCCCCCCCCCCCCACTTCCCTCTGCCCTATAACAATTTTTTTGGGCTGCCCGGGGGTTTTTTTCCTGCCCGGGCCTGCGTCTTTTGCTGCGTCTCAAAGGCCAGAATCCTGCGTCCTGCGTCTGGACGCATGCGTCTGGACGCATGCGTCCTAGACGCAGGACGCGTCTTTCTCCACATAGTGGTGCTATCAGCTCGCATGGAATGAAGTCGTGCAGGTCACTTCTTCTAACATAACTCATGGGGACTTTTTCTTTTCGTTTTCCCCTCCCTTTCTTTCTCCCTTCCCTTCCCATTCTTCTTTTCCCGTTTGGTCAGCCTGCAACTGCAACGTCAGCCACGGGGGCGCCTTCAGCTGCAGGCAGTCATGCGCCCGCTGCTGCTCCTCTTGCCGACCCTCTTGCTGCTCCTCCTGCTGCCATTCGTGCCACGGCTGCCACAGCCATTGCGGATCTTCATGCGGTGTCCGACCATTTCACTGAAAACGTTAGGTAAGCTACATTTCCAATGTATGAGGAAGGAGGGGAGGTTGGCAGGGTCGGGAGATGGGGGGGAATGTTAGCAGAGGGGTAGGAGGGAAGCTAGGCAGGAATGGGGGAGGGCATGCAGTCAGAAAGGAGAGAGGGGGTTGGGATAGAGAGAGTGGAGGGTGGGGGGGGGGGTGGGTGGAGGGGGGGGGGAGGGGAGGGGGTGGGAGGGTTTGGGAGAGAGAGAGGGGAATGTTGGCAGCGAGGGAGTAAGAAGAATGGCAGAGACTTGAGGAAGGGGGGGGGGACCTTTGCAGTGCCTTGGGTGGGGAAGATTGGCAGAAGGGATAAGTTGGGCAGAGGGAAGATTGGCACTACTGGTACCACTGCTGCTCGCACTGCTGGCAGCACCACTGGCGCCCGCACTAACAGAACCACTGCAACCCGCACCACCGAAACCACTGCTGCCCGCACCACCGAAACCACTGCTGCCCGCACCACCGCCACCACTGTCACGGTGCCACTGGCATCACCGGCGCCACTGCCGCCCACATCACCCTCACCATTGACCCCAGCACTACCACCACGTTTCCCGCTGTTGATTCTCTCGCCAATGCGCGTACCACTGGAGGTAAGCATCGGGCATGTGTGTGTTCACGCTTGCAGTCACGAGAGCACATGGGAGGCTGGGCTGGTCATGGTGGTGGTGCATGTGGAAGACAAGGCACCACAGGACAATGCTGAAAAGCATGAGTTGGGGGAACAAGGGCGTTCAAGGCTGGATGGGCGGTTTTCCTGACACTTGAAACTTCACTTCCATCACTCGCTGGATGCCGTCCTCCCCAACCCTGTGCATTTATCTAGTCGGTGCATTTATGTAGTCCATCCACTGTATGGTGGGCAACCAACCCTTGCAGCTCAATTATTCAATCCATCAAGCCATCCTTACCGCCCGCTTGTTTGGCGCCAATTGTCTCCTCGCTCTGTGCCATGCCATGACTTCCCTTCTCACCATCTTCACCACACCTCAACCATTCTCTCCTTCCTCAACCCATCTACCCATTCCTCCTTTGTGGCCTTCTCTCCTCCCAGCTGACAACGCGAATGCTGAGTCAAGGTCCCCCACAAACCACAGGCAGCGACACTCCCTTGTGCACCCATTCTGATCTGATTTGATCTGATGTCATGCATGACAACCAAGCTGCCCCAGTGTCGCTTGCAGTTGTGTAAGTAAGCTACGTGTTTCCATCCATGACATGCTGTTCATAGAGAGATTGTTCCTCTGACTGTGCACTGGTGGGCGTCACTTGGATTGTTGTATCATGATGAATCATTACACACAATGTTTATGGTTGGTAGGTAATCATCACTGTTGAGTTCACATCTCTCCCAATTACAAAGCACTTTCGCTGCTACAAACCGACGCTCAGTAAACAAGGGTCTCCTGATTGTTGTGACGTGTGATGTATTATAGAGTTTTACAGACTTGTGCACGGGCGGCATTGCATCTAACATTGTCACCGAATACATTGTAGACAGGACGGGAAAATCCCCCCACCAGAAACACCATCAAGCATTCTGTAAAGGTAATTCCAGGTTACACTCAAAGGAATCTTTTCTTGTGGCGTGGAGCATTGAAGTGCGGACCAACAGAGCCCACTGCGGTCCTTTTTTGGCTGCAAGGACAAAGAGACATGGATACAAGGCACAGAGTTGCATAATATGGCAGAGCAGAGCGCACGGCTGCTGTATGGCAGAGCAGAGCGCACGGCTGCTGTATGTGGCCCATCGACACGCAAATGCATGCTCTGTGCGACAACGCGTGGCATGGCATGCCATCGAGTGAATGGTTGTGCAGTTCCTGAGGAATGGTATGCAAGAGCATGCGTTGCATGATCGACAAGCGGTAAGTGGTATGAAACCAAGGTGGAGTGGGAGAGATGGTGGTTGCATTGCATGCATTCAGCACGTAGAATGGCATGACACAAAGTGGACGTGGATGCATGATAGACACAAACGAGAGACGCGAATGAGACGTACAATGGAGTACCGTACACAGACATGGCAGGATGAAGCAAGGTTGAATGGGTCTGAGGCACGGCATGAATGGGAATGAGGCACGGCACAAACAGCGTCATGAGACACAGGACGAATGGGCACTGCATGAGCGGCGCAGCACGACTTACGGTGATGCATCGGCGTCGTCACTCATGGGTTGATCCTCATCCATGACATGTAGCACAACTGTGCCTTCCATTGGACCATGCATGACATGTGATTGTAACAATGCCACGGGCTGCTGTGGTTGCAACGAGGCCACGGGATGTTGTGATTGTAATGATGCCACGGGGTGCTGTGGCTGCAGTGGTGCATGTGCAACATCTCGTCCGGTTGCTGCCAGCACTGCACAAGCGCCCTCAGGGGCCTCTTCTGCTACAGCCTGCTGCTGCTGCTGCTGCGCTGCTATGGCTTGTTGCCACTGGTGGTGGGATCATGCCCGCATCCACCACCCTCCCGCAACATACACACACGCACATCCAAGCCCATAGGCACGGTTAGAATCAATGCTCGACAGGCACTGCCCTCATCTGCGGTGCACTGGTTGTGGTGCAGACGGGGCAGGAAAACTGTAGCAGTGAGTAGGCTGTCCTCTTCCACTAGACCAGCAACGCCACACACCACACGCCACACACCACACGCCACACACCACACCACACAAACACACCAAAACGTCACAACACAACAGTCGGACCAGCAACACAAAACGACAACTACATATGCAGCATACCATATAAAGGTGCATAACTATTTCGCGTACCCACTGTCCGTACCGCTGTTCCGGCAGAAAATAACAAGGTATCGAGGAACTGCCTCCTTGTTGCCTCCTCACAGTAATTCGCATGGAACTGCAGTCCATGATGGGTTTCGAACGAACCAGGATACCCTGTAAACTTTTGCGCTAATGGCGATAGGAACGTCTGATACACAAAAACGTTACGCGCCCTGACGACGCCACGACACCAGCACACCAACACACAAGTACGCCGCCTTCAACACAACACCACGCCACCCCAACAGCCAGCCCACCTGATCCAGTCGCTGTGCAGCAGCCTTCTCGGGCTCCAACCTGGCTGCCCATAAGAGGAGGTGAAATGAGGGTGGTGATATGAGGGTGGTGATATGAGGGTGGTGAAATGAGGGTGGTGTGGTGATATGAGGGTGGCGACATGGGGTATTGGAATATAGCATGATGTATGCTTTTATTTGTGCGAGTGTTACACCCTAAAGTGGGTGTACACTCTGGGTCAAGGCGACCCAACCAATTTAGGTTGGGCGGCCCTAAATTCAACTCGGGCGCAAACGACAGGCGGGTGGGACTAATAATGGTAATGGTTCATCCAACCAATTATTAGTCTTCCTCCAACAACTGTTGGTTACCCCAGCAGTGATTGTGCAACCCAATCTGATTGGTCCGCTTACAATGCTATGTTTAGGGTACCCCACCTAGTTCCCCAACTTCTCATCTTCTATATGTACCCACGTCACAACAACACTTGACATTCTTTCATGGGGGTGATGGTATGGGGAGTGGTGGCATGGGGGTGATGTGATGGCACGGAAAGGTTATGAGACATGGGCACACAAATGGTTAAACACAATCTCATGGAACAAGGGTGGGATCCGACTGGTTGTGCACATGGCAAGAAACAGAGGAGCGATGCTAGCAGAGAGGGTGAGCTGTGGAGCGATGCTAGCAGAGAGGGTGAGCGTTGCGAGGGAGTCCATACCAAGGGCGGCTTGGAAGCGGTGGCCTGCCGTGTGGCGGTGGATGGCTGCTGCTGTGCGCGCGATGGTGCTGCCTGTGAGGGCGCACTGTAAGCGAGTGCTGTGTGTATGGGCGGGCAGGGACGGGATGTGCACGAAAGGGGCTGGATGGATGGGATTGGTTGACGGCGATTCAGGAGTGAATGGGAGCAAAACGAGGGTTGAAAGGAAGAGGCGTGTGCAGTGTGTGCAGTGTTGCATGGGGCACGGTGGCATGGTGGTGCTTGTGAGTCATGAATGTGTGAGGATCGGGCCATGCATGGATGGGGTGATGCATGGATGGGGTGATGCATGGATGGGGTGATGCATGGATGGGTCATGTGGGCAGAGAGGCATGGAGGGGATGGGGCAAGGCAAGTGCAGCAGCGCACGGTGCTGCAAGGTGCTGCAAGGTGCTGTGCGTCTGTGAGAGGAACGGGGTGCAGACAAGAGAGCTGCTGCTGTGGGAAGATGCGGGCATGGGTGCCATCGGTGCCATGGGTGGTATGGGTGGCATGGGTGGTATGGGTGGCATGGGTGGCATGAGTGGCATGGGTGGCATGGGTGGTATGGGTGGTATGGGTGGCATGGGTGGTATGGGTGGTATGGGTGGCATGGGTGGTATGGGTGGTATGGGTGGCATGGGTGGTATGGGTGGTATGGGTGGCATGGGTGGTATGGGTGGTATGGGTGGCATGGGTGGTATGGGTGGTATGGGTGGTATGGGTGGTATGGGTGGTATGGGTGGCATGGGTGGTATGGGTGGTATGGGTGGCATGGGTGGTATGGGTGGTATGGGTGGCATGAGTGGCATGGGTGGTATGGGTGGTATGGGTGGCATGGGTGGTATGGGTGGTATGGGTGGCATGGGTGGCATGGGTGGTATGGGTGGTATGGGTGGCATGGGTGGTATGGGTGGTATGGGTGGCATGGGTGGTATGGGTGGTATGGGTGGCATGGGTGGTATGGGTGGTATGGGTGGCATGGGTGGTATGGGTGGTATGGGTGGCATGGGTGGTATGGGTGGTACGGGTGGTATGGGTGGTATGGGTGGCATGGGTGGTATGGGTGGTATGGGTGGCATGGGTGGTATGGGTGGTATGGGTGGCATGGGTGGCATGGGTGGTATGGGTGGTATGGGTGGCATGGGTGGTATGGGTGGTATGGGTGGCATGGGTGGCATGGGTGGTATGGGTGGTATGGGTGGCATGGGTGGTATGGGTGGTATGGGTGGCATGGGTGGTATGGGTGGTATGGGTGGCATGGGTGGTATGGGTGGCATGGGTGGTATGGGTGGTATGGGTGGCATGGGTGGTATGGGTGGTATGGGTGGCATGGGTGGTATGGGTGGTATGGGTGGTATGGGTGGTATGGGTGGTATGGGTGGCATGGGTGGTATGGGTGGTATGGGTGGCATGGGTGGTATGGGTGGTATGGGTGGCATGGGTGGTATGGGTGGTATGGGTGGTATGGGTGGTATGGGTGGCATGGGTGGTATGGGTGGTATGGGTGGCATGGGTGGTATGGGTGGTATGGGTGGCATGGGTGGCATGGGTGGTATGGGTGGTATGGGTGGCATGGGTGGTATGGGTGGTATGGGTGGCATGGGTGGCATGGGTGGTATGGGTGGTATGGGTGGCATGGGTGGTATGGGTGGTATGGGTGGCATGGGTGGTATGGGTGGTATGGGTGGCATGGGTGGTATGGGTGGTATGGGTGGTATGGGTGGTATGGGTGGCATGGGTGGTATGGGTGGTATGGGTGGCATGGGTGGTATGGGTGGTATGGGTGGCATGGGTGGCATGGGTGGTATGGGTGGTATGGGTGGCATGGGTGGTATGGGTGGTATGGGTGGCATGGGTGGCATGGGTGGTATGGGTGGTATGGGTGGCATGGGTGGTATGGGTGGTATGGGTGGCATGGGTGGTATGGGTGGTATGGGTGGTATGGGTGGCATGGGTGGTATGGGTGGTATGGGTGGCATGGGTGGTATGGGTGGTATGGGTGGTATGGGTGGTATGGGTGGTATGGGTGGCATGGGTGGTATGGGTGGTATGGGTGGCATGGGTGGTATGGGTGGTATGGGTGGCATGGGTGGTATGGGTGGTATGGGTGGTATGGGTGGTATGGGTGGCATGGGTGGTATGGGTGGTATGGGTGGCATGGGTGGTATGGGTGGTATGGGTGGCATGGGTGGCATGGGTGGTATGGGTGGTATGGGTGGCATGGGTGGTATGGGTGGTATGGGTGGCATGGGTGGTATGGGTGGTATGGGTGGCATGGGTGGTATGGGTGGTATGGGTGGCATGGGTGGTATGGGTGGTATGGGTGGCATGGGTGGTATGGGTGGTATGGGTGGTATGGGTGGCATGGGTGGTATGGGTGGTATGGGTGGCATGGGTGGTATGGGTGGTATGGGTGGTATGGGTGGTATGGGTGGTATGGGTGGCATGGGTGGTATGGGTGGTATGGGTGGCATGGGTGGTATGGGTGGTATGGGTGGTATGGGTGGCATGGGTGGTATGGGTGGTATGGGTGGTATGGGTGGTATGGGTGGCATGGGTGGTATGGGTGGTATGGGTGGCATGGGTGGTATGGGTGGTATGGGTGGCATGGGTGGCATGGGTGGTATGGGTGGTATGGGTGGCATGGGTGGTATGGGTGGTATGGGTGGCATGGGTGGCATGGGTGGTATGGGTGGTATGGGTGGCATGGGTGGTATGGGTGGTATGGGTGGCATGGGTGGTATGGGTGGTATGGGTGGCATGGGTGGTATGGGTGGTATGGGTGGCATGGGTGGCATGGGTGGTATGGGTGGCATGGGTGGTATGGGTGGCATGGGTGGTATGGGTGGCATGGGTGGTATGGGTGGTATGGGTGGCATGGGTGGTATGGTTGGCATGGGTGGTATGGGTGGCATGGGTGGTATGGGTGGTATGGGTGGCATGGGTGGTATGGGTGGCATGGGTGGTATGGGTGGTATGGGTGGTATGGGTGGTATGGGTGGCATGGGTGGTATGGGTGGTATGGGTGGTATGGGTGGTATGGGTGGCATGGGTGGTATGGGTGGCATGGGCGAACCCCAAACGGCACTTCGCTGGCTAGACCCACCCCCTCACGTTATCATTCACCTTCACCCCACACACCCACGTCCCACATGCATCACACATACTCCACACGTCCCACATGCATCACACATACTCCACACCTAAGTTGGAATATACGCTTGGGTTTGTAAGCGTACTGCGTTTGTACGCTAGCGTATACACGCAAAAGCGCAAAACGCTAGATGTACGCTTCGATATAATGCGGGCAGCCCGGGCGAAAAAAAAAGAGTTGCAAATTTCGAGTTCGCGATTCGCACAACATTGTTCGCACGTCGCGGACACCAATGAACTCCCAAATTTCAAAATTTGAAAGCTACACATGTTCCTACCGCATTCAACCCCAGCTCATCTCTCTCACTTCCAACCCATCAGTCAACACCAGCAAAGCTGCTCACGGCTATAGAAGGTGAGCTTTCTCCACCCAATTTTCATTCGCTGTTGTTCTACTCCACTTTCAGCGTTTTCTACCTCCAGCTCTCAGAGTTTTCTAGCCACAGCTACCATGTCTACTCCAACTTCCACTCCCGCGAGCGGCACCGCTGGTGCGGATGCAAGTGCCGAGGCCTCCACCGCGCAGGAGTTTCAGCCCGATACCAACCATGTGGTGTTCAAGCACTTTCGCGTCCCCATCCGCGAGGGCGTGAAGGGCGTTCCGCGCATTTGCAAGCACTGCAAGCTGGAGTCCGTCGGCGGAGCCTACCGCTGGGCGCAGCACATCGTCACCTGGAAGGGCATGCGTCGCCGCGAGGTGCGCCTCTGCAATGCTTTTCCTTCAACGGCCCGCAACGAAATCCGTGCTCTTTATGAGAAGAAGCATTCCTCTCGCGACTTCAAGCGGCAGGCGGAGGAGTTCGCCCTGGAGGCTGTTTCTGGACGCGCGAAACAAGCCCGCATCAGCGACACCTATGGCGACGCGGCTGCTTGCGCGAAGACAGATGCGGACGACGCCATCTGCCTTTCGGGGGCCGGCCTGCGCCTCCCAGAGCACCACGCGGACCACGTTTTGTGGCGGAACGCTGTCCGTTGCATCAACAACGCGCCAAAAGGTTACGTTCCCCCTCGTCGCCGCTACGTCGGAGGTGCGGGGTTGCAGAAGACCTGCAAGAGGATTGAGCAAGGCCTTTCCCCGATCGTCGCCAGCTGGAAGCGTGACGGTGTCACGATCTCGTCCGACATCATGACCGACAAGAATGGCCGCCCCCAGGCCAACGTCTTGCTCATCAACGACTACGGCGCGGTCTTCACCGAGAGCGTCGATTGCAAGCTGGGGCAGAAGACGAGGTCCTACATCGCCGGCGTCCTCCGCCCCATTGTGAAGAAAGTCGGCCCCGAGCACGTGGTGTCTCTCTGCGTGGACGGCGGGAGCAATTACGCAAGCGCCTTCAAGGATTTGGCGCTTGAGTGGCCCCACATTGAGTTCGTGCCGTGCGCGACGCACGTCATGGACCTGCTCATGGAGGATGTGGGGCGAATGGATTGGGCAAAGAACGTCGTGGAGCGGGCCAACGAGATCATCACCTACGTGCGCAGCCATCACTTCACCCGCGGGTACCTGAGGAGCCCGCAAGTGCAGGGGGGAAAAGGGAAGCAAGTGCTGAAGCCCGCGGGCACAATGTTTGGCACGCAGTTTATTGCTGTTTCTCGGCTTTGTGAGGTGCGGGTCTCTCTCGTGCAGATGGTGCTGAGCGAGGATTGGGTGGAGTTTGCGAAAACAAGGAAAGAAGGCGCCGCCAGCTTCAAGTCCAACATCATGGATGACCCGTGGTGGAAGAAGGCTTCTTACTTCAGCGCGTTGTTGAAGCTGCCGTTCGTCGTGATGCGCGCCACCGACTCAACCAAGAAAGGCATGATGGGGCGCATCTACAACATGATGCTTCAACTCACTGAAGATGTGAACGCCAAGCTTGAAGAGGCGGACGAGGTGCTGACCCAGGCTGACAAGGCGGAGATTACCAAGATCGTGGGCCGCCGCTGGGATGGGAGCATGGCATGTGCCATGCATGTTGTGGGGCGGATCCTGAACCCCCTCAACCAAGAGGAAGGTATCTTCCGCAGCGACTTGGAGTGCACCCGCATCTTCAAGTCTTACATCAACCGCCACTACGACGGCATCACCATCACGCGGAAGGATGGTGAGGAGCGCCGGGCCGCCCATGTCCTGCAGGAGGGGCTGGAGGCATTCATGACGCTTCAGGGAAGTTTCGGCCTGCCTGAGGCGATTTCTGACCGTGAGCTCGTCAAGGCAGGGAAGAAGACCATGGTCCAGTGGTGGACCTGGCACGGCACCGACAACCCAGAGCTGACTGCCCTGGCTTGCCGGGTCCTCTCCCAGCCCGTTTCCGCCGCTGCATGCGAGCGGAATTGGGCTATGTGGGACGCTGTCCACACCGCACGGCGCAACAGGTTGGGGTCCGAAAAATGCCGCGACCTAGTCTTTGTTGCGCACAATTGGAACATTGTGCACAACTGGCACAAGGCCGAGGAGGGGATGGGGGCATTGCCGAGGAACATTCCGGAGCCTCCCATCCCTGAGGGGTACAAGGAAGATCGGGAGGAGGAGGTGGAGGAGGGGGAGGATGACGCGATGCAGGATGAGTATGTTGAGTAGAAAGGGGCGTGGGCAGCAGAGAGGTAAGGAGTACGGGTGGGATAGTATAAGGCTGGATTTGCAAAGGATGAGGGAGGGAAGGGAGGGGGTATGATGGGGAGACGGTAGTTGCTCTTTGTGGGAGTAGTTAGGCCATTGAAGGGGGTGCAGGCCACCTGGAATTTGCTATGTATTTGCATGTTATTTAATGGGAAAAAAAAAATCTGGGGAGGGCAGAGGTATGGGTGATAAGTGCCCCCTCCCCCTCCCCTCTCCAGAACCTTTTTTTTACCCTGCCCGGGAAAGTTTTTCCCCTGCCCGGACCACCGTACTTCCAGCGTATATCAAAGCCTTCTCTGGACGTATTGCGTACTATACTCTAGCGTATACACGCGTGCCTACAAAACGCAAAACGCGTATATTCCAACTTAGCTCCACACGTCCCACATGCATCACACATACTCCACACGTCCCACATGCATCACACATAATCCACACGTCCCACATGCATCACACATATTCCACAGGGAACGAGCACTTCTCTTCAACTGTGTGAGAGCACTCACTCCCGTGCACGCTCCCATTTCTGCCCTCACCACCTGCCCCTCCCATCCCTTCCCTTCCCGCCACCACCATTTTCCTTCCCGTCTCACTCCCATAGTGTCACTCAAAACCTCACCAAGGACGCATGCTCCCCCTCCCCCTCCCCCTCCCCTCACTCTCATCCCCCTCTCCCCCCCACCTGTCGTGAGCGCACGCCACAATGTGCGGCGCTGCTCTCTCCATCGCCTCCGCCAATGCCACTGCTGCTGCGAAGGCCTTGGATCGCACGTGCTGTCGCACGGATCGCCACTGCTGCTGCGCCCACGCATCCTGCGACAGCTGCGGCTGCGAGTGTTGAGGCTGCGACTGCTGTGACGAATCGCAGCAGGATTCAAGCGACGCGTCTTGCGACTGTGCGACGGCGACTAGACCCGCCACGTGTTCAGCGCGGATTGGGAACTCGTGCTGCGACAGCGCGCATCGCAGGCGACCCTCCCGCGACCATCCGAACCATCGCGCATCGTCGCCCAACAGCGTCGCCAGCGGGTCCGCCGTCGCCGGCTGATGCAACTGGTGCAGGTCGTCGCACGTCGCACGGATGCTCGCCTGCTCCATCTTAAGTCGCTGAAAGTCGCGAGAGTCGCCACAGGGTGGAACAACGTCGGGTCGCGCGGGCAAGAGAGACTGTAACGTCTGCTAAATCAATGAAGAGCTGAAGAGTAATTGCTGCGGTTCTGAATAATTCCGTTGCCCAGCGGTCTGCGACGCGGAGCGAAAAAGAGACTCTCCCACAAGGGAAGATCATATCATGCTTCAAACGGCTCAGTTGTCGGGCGCACAGCGTGAGGTGAAACAGCGCTAGAGCGGAGAGTGACGAAGGAAAAGAAAGGTCGTTCCGCAGGTAGACATAAATCTCGAGCGCTTGCGATTCGTCCAATGCTCGCAGGGCAGAGCCACCGTCTGGTGCTGGTAGGCGACGCGAGCTAGTATCCGTTGCGTCGCAGAAACGCGGCTTGTGATGTAAGGGAACGAGGGGAAGAGGCGCTACTACGAGGGCGTGTTTACACGTGGCTGCTGGTTTCTTTGAGCAGTTGTCACGAACCTCCGTAACGCACCAGCGACGCTTCATTCCCATGCGAATTCACGCCCAAGTAACTTCAACACCAGAATACAATTTCGATACGCAACTGACCCGAACCAGACTTCGCAAACAATGCCCACACGAACTTACATATTCTCCCCGCGCCTTCATTCCCCCGTAGTAACACCACCGCCTCCCATCCATGTCAACCTCGCGCATCCGCGCCGTTCCGCACCTCTTCCGCGCCTCCCCCGCGCGCGTCGCACGTTGCGCTCGCTGCTTCCTTCACGCGCCAACGCTGCTAGCCCGCTGTTCGCACACCGGTCGCCACCTCGCGTCGCCAGCCTGTCTTGCTACCCGTCGCTCGTCGCTCGGGCCAGTTGATCTCTCCCCCTCGCGACACGTCTACCATCTCACCGAACAGTAAACCATACCGATCCACGACGATCTCGAACCCGAGAAGCGACGAGGCCGACGAGCCGCGCTGATCGCGACGACAATTGCCAGATTTAGGCCGAGGTTCCGAGAGACGCGCGGGTGGCGCGAGTGGCGCGGGTGGCTTAGAGCTCTCTCCTTACGTGCCGTGCGGCCGCCGCCGATCCAGCAGCTTCACTGGAGAGCACTGCTAGTCTCGCCAATCTCTCCCTCCCACCGCCTTTCCACTCCACACAGCACAGCAGCAGCAGCAGCAGCGCATGTCGTTGCATCGCGTCTGTCGCGGGTTTTTGCGCGCGTCCCGTGAGTCTAGAAGAAGCACCCATGCGAGCACCCGTTGTGCTGCCACAGCAGCCAGGCGTTCTGGGAGCTCTCACATCCCACCTGCTGAAATAGCGAGTTCCGCGAAGCAAGGCGCAGGCGGGACAAAGGGCATTTACTGGCCAACAGCAGCAGCGTCAGTGCGACCGCTGCAGCCCAGCGCAGCTGCGTGTGCACGCGATCTACAGCATGTGGGGCCCTTGAGGGGCCATGCCCATGCCCATCCACAGCCACAGCAACATCTGCTGTCCCACTGCTCACCACTGCTTGCGAGAACACCTCATGCTTCCAACGCCTGGAGCTCCTTTGGGGCCATTCGAACGACGCCAGCCGTTGATGCTGTGCCCGGGATCTCGGCCGTCCGTTCAACGCGACCTGAAAGACCAACTTTGCATTGGCAGCTGGTGACGCTGCTGCCTGCCCGGCTGCTTTCGACTGCTGCTGTTGCTGCTGCAGGGACAGGTGAGGGGTGCTGGCTGCTGCGTCCTTCCATGCCTCCCTCCCTGCCCGCATCCCTCCCTCCCTCCCTGGCTACCTGCCTGTCTCTCCGCCTCCTTTCCTACTTCACGTTGCTGCCTGCACGGCCGCTAATCATCACTTTAGGCATGTGTGAGGCACGATAAATCACCATCCCTTATCACCCCGCCTCTCCTTTTCCCCACTCCTCCCTTCCATCCCCCCACCTTTTCCGCCGCCTATCCCCCATTCTTCCACCCTCATCTCCCATTCTCTCCATCGGACCCATTCAGAAATGGCTTCTCTCTGCAGCAGCCTCCGAACCAAGTTCTCCAGCATGTCATGTCATGTCATGTCATGTAATGTCATGTCATGTCATGTCATGTCATGTCATGTCATGTCATGTCATGTCATGTCATGTCATGTCATGTCACCCCTCCAATCACACACACTCCGCTTCTTGGAATCCTTTCCACCTCTCTCGTCAACGCTCGTCCTTTCAGAATTCCAAGCATTGGCTCACGCAAACATCTCAGTCCCAGCAGCAGGCGGGGCAGTCTATGTAATCACTGCTGTCGCCACTCACTCGCTGCCTCCCTTCCCTCACTTGTCTCCATCGTCTGTCATCTCTTCTCCTCCCCTCCCCATCATACCCCACCACCAACCAGGGGCACCCCCTTCCCCCCCAAGGCGTTCGTGGCTGGCGGTGGCGCTGCTGCTGCTGCCGTGTGCCACTGCCTTTGGCCTCGGTGCCTGGCAGATCCAGCGCTACTACTGGAAGGTGCGTGGAAGCTGCACGGATGTCTATAGAATTCTATAGAATTCCTGAAGTAAAATATGTGGCTGCCATTGTGATGCATGTGATTATGCCCATTACTGTGCCCTTAAGATGACAATTTTCGGCCATTTATTATGCCCATTGATGCGCTCTTTATTGTGCCTAGTGCCCATTACTCCCATCTCTTTCCTATTGAGTCCCTTTCACGCCTTCACCCTTTCTTGTCCTCACCCTTCCATCCATTCACCTCTCCCTGTTCTTGCCACCGGGGAAAAAGCAAGCCACTAAGCCGACCTGATGTGGGCTAGCCCCACCCTAGTCTGCCCATGATGCCGGCCCTAGGCAGCGGGTAACAGTCCCCATCTCCAAGCCTAAATTCCATTTTCAACCATCATTTTCCCGCCCGTCCTTGCTCCCTTCCCTGCCCATCCCTCCACCTCTTGGGGCGGCAGCAGCAGCGCCTGCAGGAGCCGCCAGTGCCCCTGCTGCTGGAAGCCATCCGCCTGCACTGCACGCGCAGTAGCTGCATGGCGACCTAGTGACTTCCTCCTGGCTGCTTGCAGCCGCGCGTGCCGCTGCTTGCAGCTGTCAGCCAGGGAGGAAGTCACTAGGTCGCCATGATCCGGGCTGTTCTAGGCCTGATCCGCACACCCATCTATCCCGTTCCCGCCTGTCCCGCCTGTCCTTGCTCCCCGCCCGCCCATTCCCCCAGCTGGATCTGGTGGAGCGACGGCAGCATCGCCTGCAGGAACCACCAGTGCCGCTGCTGGCCTTTCAGGCACACACGCTCGCCATTTGGGAGAAAATCACTAGGTCGGTCGGCAGGGCCTGGTCTGCTCCCGGCCTAATCCGCATGCCCATCTATCCCGTTCCTGCCTGCCCTGTCCTTGCTCCCCACCCATCCCCCCAGCTGGATCTGGTGGAGCGGCGGCAGCAGCGCCTGCAGGAGCCGCCAGTGCCGCTGCTGGAAGCACTGCAGGCACACGCTCTCGCCACTGGGGAGGAAGCCGCACTGCCTGCCTCTCCTGCAGCCGCTGCTGGGTCTCGTGGGCCTGTCTCGGCATCGGCTGAGTCTGGTTCGGCAGCAGATGGGTCTGGTTCGGCAGATTCTGGGCCTGGGTTAGCAGCAGGGGAGTTGGAGTTTCGGCGAGTGGAGTGTGAGGGGCGGTACGACGATGCTCGGTCGCTATTTGTGGGGCCCCGGGCGCACACTGTGAGGGGCGCGCAGGAGAAGGGGTACTTGCTTGTCACTCCGCTGCTGCCTCCCCCTGGCAGGTATGCCTATTCGCCTCGTTAGTAACTCACTCCCCTTGCATGCCACTGCTGCCCATTCCTCCATTCCCCTTTCCCTTTCCCCATTCCCCCATTTCCCCATTCCTCCATTCCCCTTTCCCTTTCCCCATTCCCCCATTTCCCCATTCCTCCATTCCCCCTTCCCTTTCCCGATTCCCCCATTCCCCCATTTCCCCTCCCCTTTCCCCATTCCACCATTCCCCCATTCCCCCATTCCTCCATTCCTCCTTCCTTTCCCCATTCCTCCATTCCCCCTTCCCTTTCCCCATTCCTCCATTCCCCCCTTCCTCCATTTATCCATCTCCACGTCTCCCGATTCTCTAGACTCCCCATGCTCTCAATACAGCCAGCAGCCAGCAGCGCTGCTGAACAAGGGGTGGGTTCCGGAGGCAGTGAGGCATGAGTCTGTTGTCGGGTGTTGCCTCGCTCCCCTCTCCACCCCCCTCCCTGCTGTCCCCCATCCTCCCGACCTCTCTCGTCCCGCATCCCCCCATTCCCTCCCCCATCTACCCCCATGCAGCCAGCAGACAGCAGTACTGGTGAGCACAGGGTGGGTGGCGGAGGCAGTGGGGCATGACTTGCATGTTGACCGCCCTTCCTGTCTCTTCCTTTCGCTGCTGCTGTCCCCCATCCCCCCATTTCCCCCTTTTCCTCTTTTGTTCCCCTCCACCCCCATGCAGCCAGCAGCCAGCAGTGCTGGTGAACAGGGGGTGGGTGCCCGAGGCAGTGAGGCGAGAGGCAGAGGCGTGGATGGCGGAGGAGAGGGCCAGGGGGGGTGCAGGCGAGGCGGGAAAGGAGGAGGTTGAGAGGGGTGGCAGTGGGACGAGCAGGAGTGGCGGTGGCGGAAGCAGCAGTGGCAGCAGCAGTGGTGGCAGCAGCAGTAGCGTTAGTGTGAAGGGTAGCAGCAGGGGGTGGTTTGGGTCGAGGGGAGCTAAAGGGCAGGCCTCAACCGAAGCAGAGACAGCAGGCAGCGAGGTGAGGCTCGTAGTCAAAAGCAGGTCAGACCAGATCATATCAGATTGGACTGGATTGAATTGGATTGGATTGGATTGGATCAGGTCACCTCAGAGCAGTCGGACTGGGGTGGCCTGGACCATGGTTGGGGCAGGAGGAGCCCAACACTAGCACAGTGATCCTTTGAGAATTCTCACAAGCGATTCAAGCACACAGTGGCACTCAGTGATCCTAAAAACATAAGATGGGAGCGATTCTGGGTTGTCATGCACATGGTTGCTCTTCCCCTCCCCATCTCCCCTCTTCCATGCCGGTGAGTGTCCCCACTGTGATCCCAGCTCGGCCAACCACGCCTGTTGTGCTTCATGGGTCTGGATTGTGGATGTATGCAACAAAAAAAGAGGTGTTCATTCAAGCAACAAAAAGAATCTGTCTGGATTGGACCCAACCAGTGAGAAGTTGAACCAACGTCCCGGATCATCCAACTTCTGTTGCTAACTTGTGTGTCCTTCTTTCCCCTTCTCGTCCCCTTCCCACAGCCCAACACCCCCCCTGTCATCCGTGTGTCTGGTGTGGTGCGAGCCAGGGAGAACCCCAACCGCTTCAAGAGTTGCTCTCTAGTAGAAAATTGCTCTTTTTCTTCCCATCTCCACCGCCCCTCCACACAGCCCAACGCCCCCCCTGTGATCCGTGTGTCCGGTGTGGTGCGGGCCAGTGAGAAGCCAAACCACTTTGTGCCGCCCAACACGCCGGAGCACGGCGAGTGGTTCTGGGTGGACGTGCCTGCCATGGCCCATGCATGTGGCCTGCCACGTGGCACTCTGCTATTGGACGCCATGAGACCAACTGAGGAAGAGGAGGAGGAGCGTACGTCTGGCAGCAGCAGCAGTGGCGGTGGCAGCAGCATCGACAGCCAAGCGGGTGTGTGCCCTGCATTCTACAGCGACCATCGCTTCCCTCGCCCCAAGGACCCTGAGGAGCTTGTGAAGCTGCCAGTCATGCCTGCCGACCACATCACATATGCGGCCACCTGGTGAGTGTCCCCCCGCCATATTATCTATGGCATGTCCTGTTATGATCCCTGTACTCTTGTGCGCTAGGTACGCTTGATGTTCAGCTTATATGCTGTACATACAAAATTGCTGGCCTCTCTTTTTCTGGGTGGCGTATAACTTTGCACTCTCCTTTTTTCTCGTTGATGCTCAGGTTTTCTCTCTTCACAGCCACGTCAGTGATGGCTTACAAGCGCCTTCGAGTCGTCCCGAGGAAGGTGCGCTAAGGCAATGCCGGGAGATTCTTCAACGTCCCTTGTGTGGCGTGGCTAAACCTTGTGCACTAGGCAGGAGGATGTATGATAAGGTGTTTGGTTGGAACTGCTGAGGTTTTTTACAAAGTTTGAAGAACCAATTGTGTTTTTGGGAGACATGTGAACTCTACAGAAGTGATTACCTACCATAAGCAACGTGTGTCACGATTCATCACAATTCATGATAACAATTGAAGTGACGCCCGGCAGTGCACAAACAGAGGAGCAGACAGAGACTCTTTGCAATCAGGATGTCAACGAAACAGTAGCATACACAGCTGCAAACGACACTGGGGAAGCTTGATTGACTTGACATGCATGACATGACATTATATCCGATCGACCAGATCAGATCAGATCATATCATATCGAAATGGGTGCACACGCGGGTGTCACTGCCCTGGTGTGTGGAGGAGCTGGACTCAGCATTGGTGTTCTCAGCTGGGAGGAGGGAAGGCCACAAAGGAGGAATGGGGAGATGGGTCGGGAGGGGAGAATGGTCAAGGCCTGGTGGCATGGTGAGAAGTGGAGACATGGCACAGAGGGATACAGCTGGAGCAGCAGGAGGTAGCAAAAACAAGAGGGCGGTAATGGTGGCTTGATGAGCTGATAAAATGGCTGCAAGCGTTAGCTTCCCATCATAAAGTATATGTACTAGATACATGTGCAGAATTGAGGAGTTCGGCCCACGCCGAGCGATGGAAGTTCACTTCCCCCATCTCGCCTTGAACGCCCTCCTATGTTCCCCCAACTCATGCTTTTCAGCATTGCCTTAAGTACCTTATCTTCACATGCACCGCCACAACTACCAGCATGCCCGAGGCCTACCTCCAGTGCTTGTGACTGCACGCACGGACACACGTGACATGCCCGAGCCATACCTCCAGTGGTACACGCATTGGCGCGCGAATCAGCAGCTGAAAACGGACTGCCCCGGCCGGACCGCGTGGCATCAGAGGCTGCTGCCACTCCGTAACAAGTTACTGCGCCTGTGGTGCCACTGGCAGTGCTGCTGTTAGTGCGTGATGGAGTGCTGCTGTTAGTGCGGCCTGCAGTGCTGCTGGTGGTGCGGGCGGCAATGGTGTCGGCGACGCGGGTGGCAGTGGTGCTGTTGGTGCGGGCGGCAGCAGTGCCAGTGGCGCGGGGAGCAGAGGAGCCATTGGCGCGGGTGGTACTGGTGCTGGTAATGCGGGGGGGAATGGAGCGGGTGGTGCGGGTGACAGTAGTGCCGGTAATGCGGGCGGCTGTGGCGCCGGTAATGCGGGCGGCAGTGATGCCGGTAACGTGGGCGGCAGTGATGCCGGTAACGTGGACGGCAGTGGTACAGGCTCCAGTTGAGCTGTTAGTGCGAGCGGCAGTGGTTCTGTTAGTGCGGACGCCAGTGGTGGTGGTGGTGCGGTTGGTAGTGGCGCCGGTGGTGCGGGTGGCCGTGCTCCTTGTGATGCGGTTGTCAGTGATCCCAGTAGTGTGAGGCGCCAAAGCAGACCGGGCTGCAGCACGGGAAGCAGCTCGAGTGGTGGTGCCAGGAGTAGCTACGGCTGTAGTGCGAGTGGCAGCGGCAGATGCAACACGATGAGAGGAAAGGCGAGAAAAATGGGCTGTAGCATGGGGGAGGAAGACGGAAACAAGGGCACAAGAACGAAAACGAGCATGAGGACACAGGACGCAGTGGCTTGTTATGGAACGTGGAAAAAAACTGGAAAGAAGAAGTGGGGTAAAAAAAAAAAAACACAAGAAAATAGTGCAGTTGGCAAGCTCATTCAGTTGTTCCGAGGAACCGGAATATCATAAGTGTCACTGCCATGGAATGACAAGGCGACAAAAGCAGAGCCCACTTCTCTGGCACCATGGTAAAAAACTGCACAGACATCCGACTCCCATCCATCACAGCCTCTCTCACTTTCTCTCTCCTCTCCCCCCAAGCTCCCCTCCAACCCCTCTGCCTAACCCCCACCCATCTCCCGACCCTGCCAACCTCCCCTCCTCCCGACTCCATTGGGGATGTAGGTAGGTTACCTGAAGAGGCAGCAGCATGGCGGGCAGTTGGTGCAGCGGCGGGATGGGCACGAGAGGACGTCGCATGAGAACCCACAATGGCTGAAGCCCGAACAGCAGCTGTGGCACGACTGGCTGTACTAGCTGTAGTGGCACGACTGGATGTACTAGCTGTGGCACAAACGGATGTACTAGCTGTGGCATGAACGACTGTAGCAGCAGCAGGAGGAGCAGCAGCGGGCGCATGACTGCATGCAGCTGAAGGCGCCTCCGTGGCTGACCTTGCAGTCACAGACTGACCCTCGGGAAAAGAAGAATGGGAAGGGAAGAGAGAACGCAAGGGAAGAGAAGCTGGGAATAAAAATGTCGGATGAGTTCTGATTTTGTCAGCAAAAGTGACCTGCATGTCTTGCAGTCCTTACCTTAGAAGGCCAAATGCGAGCTGATAGTAGCACCACACACTTACAATTGATCGCATCCGAGCAAACGAATCCGTGTACAAGGTATACCTACCAGCAGCTCCAGCAGCAGTGGGCACAAATGCGGAGTCTCAGAGATTCTTACTGAAGGAATCTGTGAGAATTTTGACAACCAAATTGCTTTATGAAAGCAGCACAAGGAGAAAGCTGGAGGTTGGACTCACATGGTTGACATGGTAACTGATTCCACCTTCCTCGTTGTGATTCCCATCTTCAATGCTTTGCAGAAACCCCTCATCCCTCCCCTCGTCAACGTCCCTTCCCTCCTCTGCCACCACTGGTCCTGCTGCATCTGCTCTCGCTCTATCGATGTAATACCTGCTTTCAGCTGAGTAAAAGTGTCCCTGCAAGAGGATTTACGGCCAGGCACACAGGACGTGGTTCACACTCGATAAGGGGTTGATCTCTGGTGTCGTGTTAAATATCCTTACTCTAAAGTCTTCCACCTCTGAGAGTATGCTACCAACAGAGAGAAAAGCCATATTACCGGGGTTGCTGGCTGGACGCACCTGGGTGCATGTATATCGAATTACGACGGGGGCTTGCATGGTGCGTTTCGTGTTGGATCCACTATTCACAATCGAGTAGTGAAACCTTTCTGCACTGGTGTCCCAGACCTGCCAAACCATTCAGGCAGTGTCTCTACTTGTTGAAAATGGGAAAGCGAAAAGAAACATAGATGGAGAGGTTTCAGGTTGTTCTCTTCTTAACAACAGCCTGCTGTAATTTGTCTATTTGCACTGAACAAAAGAATTAACCAAACACACCTTAGAGGAGCAGAAAGGGCAGGACTCGTCTTGCACGAAGGAGCGACCGGTTTGAGTATAATACACACTTGATGGCAAGGAAAAAGGATATCGTGAAGATAAATTAAAAAACAATCCTTCTTCAGAAATAAACCTCTGGATTGTGGTCTCTTAATAGCTAACTAGCAAAATCCCAAACGCTAAACAACATGTGCCTCATTAAGGACATTCTCTCGGTCCAAGAGAACCAAGACCCTTCAAGTCACAAGCCCCCCCGGATTCAACAGCACAAATAGCGCCCTAATGGCCTGATATTTGATTGACTGCCTGGTTGGTGTACACACCTCGCTTGCCTTCCTCCCTTGCCATTACCCGTGGCATTTCTGCACCTACCTACCAGCCTAGCCGTCCAAGTAGACTTGCCTAGTCCTTGATAGAATTGCACTGCCTACCATGTTTGCTCTACCTACCAGTTCATTCGAGGAACAAGACGGTTTTTTAGAAAGCTAAGGTCAACGCAGCAGAGCACTCGAAAGAAAGAGCATTAACATGAAACACGAGTAGAAGCGGTTGTCTTACACATAAGAGTCACGATTGGCGCCAACATAAAGTCCTTGTTTAAGATACAAACCATCGGTTTGGTCCTGTCCGTCCCGATGGCAGGAGCACCAAATGGTCAAGCCCAAGCAATGAAAAGAGACGAAACCAAAGGCAGGCCCATGCAAGCGCACGTGCGGATTGTCGCTGTCACGCTCCTGCTCGTCTCCTGCAACTCGCCTCGCCACCCCCTTCTCACGCCAGGGCACCAGTGGATAAGTCGCGCGAGGGCTCGAAAATCCACCTCACCCATCCGCTCCAGCATGCACCGAAATTGTTTGCGCAAGCATGCTTCAAACTCCTCGTCGCCGATTGAATTCTGAACCCGAAGAGTGTCCTCAAGGAGCTCAGAGAGTTTTTCCCGGCAGTGTAGCTGCCACAGGGACTCCTTTGCCATGCGATTAAGAGCCTTCGAAAGGCACGCCATCTGCGCTAGTAATACATGAGGCCCGGTTGGCTCTGCGCGGCGCAAAATGGCGTAAAGGAGGTCACCAGGAAGCGAGTCCATGGCGGATCACACTTAACGGACCACGTAAGAGATGGGATGAAGGGTGGCGAATGTAGAGCAATCAACACACAAATGTTGGACCTCGATTGATGCGAGCCGGAATGATGAGCGAATACGTAGCGATGGTGCGATCTATGGCGTGACAGAGTTTTGGATGCGAGCAACGGTCTAATGGGTGTAAGGGGAGCAGGAATGTGGCTAAGGAGTGTGCGGTGGTTCGGAAAATCCACGACCCAGGTTGGGACGTTCGGAATCAGCCAGGTACCATATATCTTTCCGTGCCTAGCCGTACTGATGTGGTTCGATTGTCACCAAGGTGACAACGGGATTACCATACCGTGAGAGGGCTGGCAGCTTGTAGGTGCACAGGAAGCTGTGAGGCGGGAAACCTAACCTTGAGACTACTTCCATTGCTAGTCTGTGGATTCGATCGAAATGACAACGGCTTCGCCACATCGTGAGTGGGCTGACAGTTTCTAGGGCTTCGGAAAGCTTCGGCGGAAAGCCAATCTCGGTGTGGCTTCCGTCGTTGGCCTGTGAAATTACGACCGTAGCTAGCGCGATCAGTTTCAGCGGCCTGATTACGGGTCAGTGTGGCGGGAGGACTTGGAAGGAGAAACCTTGGTGATTGACAATGCGGTTCAGTTGGATCTCTCACGTTACAAAACGGTTGCACATAATCTGAGAGGCGGGATGGTAATCAAATGGAACTGAAAGCATGAAGCAAGTTTCGTGGTGGGATACAAACGGTGTAGTACGTTGGTGTGCGTTAAAGGTCTGTGGCTTCAAACTTCGCAACGGCTATCGCCAGAATTGTTTCGCGAAATTCGTTGGTTGCAAGCGTGACCTGCTCCATACATGTTTTGAGTGGTGCGTGACAGTCCGACGATCTGGACTTGATCAAGTTGAGCCTACAGCTGATTCATCTATTGCCAAACTTGCTCACACAGCGCATCACACGAGGAGTAGTAGTAGAAGCCTCGAACAAAAAAACCGAGCGACATCGCGCCTCGTCGTGACGATACTGGCGGCGTTCGCAACGGCGGTCGTCGTCGTCGTCGTCGTAGCCTCAAAACTCCTCTGAAACAAGCGATCACGTCACACTCCCAAATTTATAGAAGGAAACAAACGAGCGATCGCGTCGTTTCGTGTAGTAAAACCCTCGGGGGGTAACAAGCGAGCGATATCGCGCGTCGTCGCAACGATGCTGGCGGCGTTCCTCGCGGCGCTCGTCTTCTTCCATTCCTCCGAGTTCCTCCTCGCGCTCTGGTCCACCGGCAAACCCGACCTCCGATGTACGCCTCCTCGCCTCGCTTCGCGCCTTCCCCTCGCCTCGCCTTGCCTCGCCCCCGCCTTTCCCCTCGCCTCACCTCACCTTCCCGCCTTCCCATCGCCTCGCCTCGCCTCGCCTCCCCCGGTTCTCGTTCCCGTCATTTCTCGCTCGCGTCGCCTTCTCCCCCTCCTCGCGAATCCGTCCCTTCTCCGCGCCAATCCGTCCCCTCTCCTTGCCAATCCGTCCCCTCTCCTCCGCGTCTCTGGCAAGGGCGCTGATTGCGGGGCGTTGTGTTGACACTTCAATGCGTCTCCACTCTCCCATCCCCCCAGCCTTACCCATCCCCTCCCCCCAGCAGTCGAGCCATCTTTTTCTCACGGGAGAAACTTCCCTTCACGACGCGGCCATTCCTCTCCCCTCTCCCGTCTATCCTGCCAGTGTCATCCTTGCGTCCTTTTCACTCCTTATCTCCCGGCCGCCCACCCTCATCCTGCTTCCGCACCCTCCCCACCGCCCTGCCCCTTTCTCTGGCCCCTGGCGCTTTCGCAGGTGGTTTTTGAGAATCCTAAATAATCGCCTGCGCTGTTGTGGAGCCCCGCTGGTCGTGGGGGTGGTGTTGCTGCTGACGGTCTGTTCAAATGTAGCTTTCCCTCCCTCCCCACACTCTCTCGCTCCACCTCCATCCCTCTCCACCGCACCCCACCTCCCGCTAGCCATGCAGCGTTCCTGTTGTCGCGGGAGTATCTGCTCGCCATGGCAGCGGCGCTCACTGAACACGCGCTCGAGACCGCCTTCTTCCCCGCCTTCAAATGCTGCCTGTGGCCCGTGGCGTGGGTGGGGGGCCTGCTGGTGGCGGAGGTGTGGGGGGTGGGGGCGCTGGTGTTCGGGGTGGTGTTTGCGGTGACGGTCACATAGAACTTCGCTTTTCCTCCCTCCCTCCCCGCACCCCACCCCCGCTAGCCATGCAGCGTTGCTGTTGTCGCGGGAGTATGTGGTCGCCATGGCAGCAGCGCTCACTGAATACGCCCTCGAGACCGCCCTCTTCCCCGCCTTCAAGCGCCGCCTGTGGCCCGTGGCGTGGCTGGGGGGGTGGCTGCTGCTGGCGGGGGAAGCGGTGCGCAAGGCAGCCATGCTGACGGCGGGGAGGAGCTTCACTCACGATATTCAGACGGAGAAGCGGCGCGAACACCGGCTGGTGACGCACGGGGTGTACAGGTGGGCGTGGTGTGGTGGACGGGTGATGGGATGGTGGGTGGTTGGGTGATTGAGTGGGCGATGGTTGGGTGGTTGATTGGGTGGTTGAGTGGCAAGTAAGGCGTGGATGTGCTGATGTGGTCGGCCCAGGCGCACGAGAGGCGCAACCACTGCCTCCTGACGCACGGGCAGCACAGGTGGCAGCTGGATAGGCGCTCATGTTTATTCCGAAGGCAATGCTGGGATTCACTAGAGTATTTATGGGCGCTCAGAAGGCAGCGGTTTCAAGTACTGAGGGGAGGAGACTCGCACGTGCTGGGTCTTGAGGCGCCTGTTTGCATGAGCGTGTTGCTGCCCTCCCCGACCTGCTCCGCCTGCACTGCCTGCACTGCCTGCTCCGCCTGCACTGCCTGCACTGCCTGCACTGCCTGGACTGCCTGCACTGCCTGCACAGCCTGCACTGTCTGCACTGCCTGCACTGCCTGCACTGCCTGCACTGCCTGCATGTGCGCCCACCCTCCCAGTGCCCACCCACCACCCAGTGCCCTCGCCACGGTCCCGCAGCAGGTAGGCGAGACATCCATGCCCCACAGGGCTCTTCAGGCGGACCATCAGGTGGGCAGGATGCGTCTATCCATCCCATGTGGTACCCATGCTCCCCACATGCCTGCATGCCCACGGCAGGTGGGTGCGGCATCCGGGCTACACGGGGTGGTTCGTGTGGAGCATGATGTGAGTGTTAGGGTTTATGGTTCATGTGCCCTACGCATGTTCCCCACAGGTGGGTGCGGCATCCGGGCTACACGGGGTGGTTCGTGTGGAGCATAGCCACGCAGCTGCTGCTCGTCAACCCCCTCTGCACGCTCGCCTTCGCCCTCGTCTCCTGGCGCTTCTTTGCCGTCCGCATCCCGTGAGTAACGCGGCTGTAGAGAGGGGTACTGGGGCAGGAGGTGCAGTGTAAAGCACCCTCGTCTCCTGGCGCTTCTTTGCCATCCGCATCCCGTGAGTTTGAGCTCTTGCGTGACTGGGGCAGGAGGTGCAGTGTGCGATGTACTGCATTATAAAGCACCCCCGACTCTTCTCCTGGCGCTTCTTTGCCGCCCGCATCCCGTGAGTTGCCCCCTTGCGTGTGCACCCTTCATCCTGTGAGTTACTGCCTTCCTTGCGCAGGCATCCTGCGATTTACCCTGTGGGCGCAGAGCTGGAGGCTTTTCCAGGCACCCTCTCCCCTCGTCTCGTCGCACCATGCCCTCAGCACTTTAAACCCGCAACCCCGGCCCCCCATCCCACACCATGCCCCCCCCCCCACTCCAGCTACGAGGAGTTCTACCTCCACCAGTTGTTCGGTCTCGAGTATGCACGCTACGCCGCCTCCGTACCATCCGTCGTTCCCTTCAACTCATCACGCTATTTCCTCCGCTCCCATGCCCCTATCCTCCTTCCCCACATCCCAGCTACGAGGAGTTCTACCTGCACCAGTTCTTTGGCCTCGAGTACACACGATACGCCGGCTTGGTGCCTCGCTGCCAACCTGCATTCCTTTCGTCTCATCACGCCATCCCCTCAACTCTTTCCTCCCCTCCCCCCCTCTCCCCCCCCCTTCCCCCCAGCTACGAGGAGTTCTACCTGCACCAGTTCTTTGGCCTCGAGTACGCACGCTACGCCGCCTCGGTGCCGTCCGGCATCCCCTTTGTCTCGTGACGCCGGGCCTCCGCCCCCATTCCTTTCCTGGGGAGCAGATAGCAACAGCTGGCCTCCGCTTCCATTCCTTTCCTTGGGAGCACACCCCGATCTGGTAGCAGCACAGCACGGCATGACCATCAATTAGGCGCCTCAAAAGAAGCGGGCCTTGGCTTGGCTCCCATTCCTTTCCCGGAAAGCACAAACCGCTAGCAGTACGGCGCAAGTCGCGCGACCCTATGCTGGAAAGCCTTGCTGGAAAGAGCTTTGACAGCAGCGTATGAGCTGAGCACTAGCAACATGAGGCAGCGCAGAATAAAGTACAAGTTCTTGCTAATGCACTGCATGGCTTGCTAGTGCACAACATGCGCTTCCTGTGCGACAGCCATGGGCTGCAAGCAGCAACATACTGGCACCCGTTTGGAGCTGTCTAGCAGCTGTCAGACGGAGGTGATATCCTGTCTGAATTCTTGGTCTGAAATATCAGAGTTGCTTACAACAAAAGGGTTTAACCGATCGAAGTCAGATTTATTGACTGCATAAAAGCAAACGAGAACTTCATGGTTGGCTGATGGACCAATGTTATATTCATTTGCAGTTGTACACTTTCATACATCTGTAGTGTAGCAGCTCAGCTTATCACTGGTCTTCCGCACACACTGCACTACAATGAGTTGCATTGTAACGCGGGTGGAAACCCAACATTGAGGGCGAGGTCAGGTTATACATTTCGCGTGGGTTAACAGTTCTTGTAACGTGGTTCAAGACGGTTTAGCACGGTGGAAAACGGTTCTCGACGTTTACCGCTCTGCACCGTGTTGAAACAAAGTTAACCGCAGTGAGTGTACAAAAAGTTGTACAACCTGACTTCGCCCTGAAGGCATATTGTTTGTCAGACCCCAATACCGATTTTTAGGGTGCGACTCGGAAAGCCCACGATACGCAGGAGCCTTGCTGACCAAATAATAAATAACTCACCCAAGTCTAGCCATTTCCCTGTTCTCAGCGCTAGTGTCGCGCGCGCGAAGGAGAACATTGTGTCCCAGGACAAGGCTCCGGCCACAAGTCTAGTCCAGCCAGGCCCTTCTTAGGCTGGTCCAGGCACCCGAACGGAAGCTTTTCAAATCAGTTGGGTGAGAGAGCGGCGGTACCGGCTGTCGTCTAGGCACAGCGGCGCCGCAATGCAGCCAAAGGGAGGCGGCGCGGCGGGGCTGGCGGCCTCCGCGCAGGTTGTGCCTGCGACGGGCCCCGCCGCTGCCGCTGGCGCAGCTGGCGCCGGTGGTGCGGCGGGAACCGCAGGAGGAGGGAAGGCGAAGGGGACGAAACGTAAGGAATGGGGTGTGAGTGCGAGGACATGCGGAGTGATTGAGAGGGCATGCGGTGTGAGTGAGGGCATGGGTAAAGAAAGAGCGGCAAACAGGCTCGTGGGCACAAACGGGTGTGTGGCGAAATCTGTGTGCGCGTGGAGCGCGTATGCTGCTTGTGTGGCGCGTGTGCTGCTAGTGTGGTGCGTATGCTGCTTGTGTGGTGCGTGTGCGGCTTGTGTGGTGCGTGTGCTGCTTGTGTGGTGCGTGTGCTGCTTGTGTGGTGCGTGTGCTGCTTGTGTGGTGCGTGTGCTGCTTGTGTGGTGCGTGTGCTGCTTGTGTGGTGCGTGTGCTGCTTGTGGGCCGCGTGTGCTGCTTGTGGGCCGCGTGTGCAAGCCAGGATCCAGTCGCCAAAACAAGACGCCCTACACCTCTCGTCTCAGTCCCTTCTCATCTCCCCCCATTCCCGGTGCTATCCCCCCCGCCAGCACCAGCCAGCCACTGCACACAAACCCTGCCACTTCTACTCCTATCCAATCACCTCACCCCCTCCTCTCATTCCTGCACACTTCCCTCCTCCCGCCCCTTCCCACCGCCCATCTTCCCCTTGTTCCCCCACCAGGCGGAGCAGCAGGCGGGGCGGCAGCAGCGAGGCCCAAGAAGATGTCCAAAGCAGCTGCGGCTGCTGCTGCAGCGGCGGCCCAGAGGCAGGCTGCAGGTGGGTGGCAGTGACGAGTGGCAGTGAGGGGTGGATGGTGGGTGGCAGTGACGAGTGGCACTGAGGGGTGGCAGGTGGGCGGCAGTGAGGGGTGGCAGTGAGGGGTGGCAGGTGGGCGGCAGTGAGGGGTGGCAGTGAGGGGTGGCAGGTGGCGGCAGTGAAGCATAGATTGATTTTCTGTCAGCCGAATGAGGTGAGAAACGAGAGCTGGGAGGTGGGAGGTGGGAGGTGCTAGGTGCGCAGGTGTCCCTTCCCATATGCAATGACGATGCAGGATGACTCGAGGGTCGCATTCACAGCCCTCACTTGCCTCCCTTCCTCCCCCCCCACTCTTCCTCTGTGCTCTGCAACTCTGCCTGCTCTTCCAGAGGCAAAGGCAGCAGCTGGAGATGCTACGGCGATTCCTATTGCTCAGCAACAGCAGTCACAGCAGCAGCAGCAGCAGCAGCAGCAGCAGCTAGTGAAGCAGCAACAGCAGCAAGAGCAGCTGCAGCAACAACAACAGCAGCAACTGCAGCAGCAGCAGCAGCTGCAGCACCAACCACTGCAGCACCAGCAGCACCAACAGCAGGAACATCAGCAACAGCAGCAACAGCGGCTTCAGCAGCAGCAGCAACAGAAGCAGCAGCAGCAGCAGCAGCAGCAGCAACGGCAGCAGGGGAAGGAGGGGGCGGGTGGAGCAGAGGTGGAACGGGGCCGGGCGGCAGTGGGGGGTGGCGAGCGCAAGGACAAGAAGGCAGCAGCCAAGCAAGGGGCGCATGGAGGGGGCGCCGCTGCCGGGGGGAAAGTGGCGTGAGTTCATTTGCCTGACTGCTTGCTCTGCTGGATTGCTTGCGTTCGTTATTGTTCGACTCTTTGACGTTCTGTCGGTGCAGATCAGTGCAAGTTACTTTGGCCTTGTCTTTTTCTTTTTTCTTTCGTTTCCTTTCTTGAACGATGCTGTATCGGCGTCCCTTGTGCTTCCATTAAGCTTGTCGCCTCTCTCCTAGCTCTCTTCCCTGTCCTCTCTTCCCGTTCCCTCTCCTCTCCCGCCCCCTGTACCCCCTGCAGGGGAGCGTCTGACACCCTTGTTGCCACGGGATCAGCACATGCTGCCAAGCCAGTCACAGCACCAGCAGCAGGCATGCCCGCCCACTCACACACCCACCCACCCCTCGTGACCCTCCTCCCTCCTTCCCACGCACCCTGCCTCAATGTATTTTTTTTGCTAGACAACAACCTTCGTTACCCTCCCACTCTCCTTGCGACCCTCTCTTTCTTCGTCTTCAGCCCAAACCAGCTTAACCATGCCTTGACATGCCATGCGTTGCACACACACACACGCCTCGCGCTTCCAGTACTTTACCCGCCATTTTTCCATGCTCCGCGCACTCTTTTCTGCTATGCCACATGCCACATAGCATCATCACCCATCACCCACAGCCACCAAATCACCCCACGGCCATCGCATCACCCCAGGGCTGTCACACCTCTCACCCGTTACAGCCATCTTAAATCCCACCTCCCCTTCCAAGCAGGCAAGGCAGCAGCTCCAAAGAAGAAGGCGAGTGCGTCGCGGCGCAGCACATTCGACTTCATTCTCAAGCAGTCCAAGCCGCTGCGCAAGGACCAGCAGCCGCCAGGTGTGTTGCTTAGGGGTTCTAGGATCAGCAGCCGCCAGGTGCGCACTGGGGTGGGGGATAGCACTTGTGGTAACAGCCCCCAGGCACAGCACCTTTGACTTTGTTCTCAAACAGTACAAGCCGCTGCGCAAGGTCCAGCAGCCCCCAGGTGACCAACAGCCGCCAGGGGACCAGCACCCGCCAGGTGACCAGCACCTGCCAGGTGCGCACGTGTTATGGGGGGGGATAGCAGCGCCCGCCCAGCGCAGGTGAGGATAATCAGCGTGTTTTTACCTCATGGCCTCCTTGACACTCGTTGCAGCAAAAACATCGCAACTTAAGCAGCAAAGATACAACCCTCATCATGAGGTCCTTGAGGTGTCACATGCAAAATCCAATCAGTTATATATTGTCTAGGTGTTGTAGGCATGGGCAAAAGACCCGGTCGGGTCGGGTAACCCGACCCGACACGACTTTTTAGTCGGGTCGGGTCCTTATATTGGGATTGACTACTCAGGCGGGTTAAGTAGCGTATACCCGGTTGGGTAAAAAAATACCCGGTACCCGACCCGGTGTTCTAGGTCGGATCGGGTATACCCGTATCCAAGTGGTGTGCCTAGGGCTAGGGTTACAAATATGCAATAGAACTAACAAAAGGGTATTTGGGTATACCCAACCCGACCTCGGGTATACCCAACATGACTGCGGGTCAGGGATACCCGAGAGGTACTGGGCAGGTCGAGTCAACATCCTGGGGCCAAATACCCGGGGTTGGGTATACCCGACCTGACCCGAGCTGAGCCTCCGGTCGGCCTAGGCGGGACGGGTCGGGTCGGGTCGGGCTAAAGCCCATGCCTAAGGTGTTGCAACATTTGTAAACCATGCTAGAAACTTCTAGCCACCCCAATGCACAAGTCAAAGTTGACCTCCTTGCCACTCGCAGTAACAACCACATCGCATCTTTATGAAATTATGAAGGCAATGAGATCATGAATGGTACTTGTGACTCACAATGAATGAAGTGTCCCAACAATCTTGGTGGGATCACCCAGACACAGCAGCAACAGAGGGTTCAATGGACCAGAGAGGGAAATCATTGTTTTACACTCCACTCCATTCTCCACCCTCTCTCCTCCACTCCACACCCTTCTTCCTGCATCCCTCAATTTCCCTCTCCCTCCATCACCCACCCTTTCTCCTTCCATCATTCACCCCTCTTCCCTCCATCCTCCACCCACCACCCCCTCCCTTCCCCTCCCTTACAGCCCAAGCCCCGCTACCGCTAGCGACGGGCATGCAGCATGCGCGGTACGAGGCGAGGCTGAGGGGCGTGCTGGGGGCGCTGTTCTGGGAGGCCAGCTCGCGCGCCATCACCAACCAGAGCACCCCCTCCCCCGC